CTGGAGTGATAAATGAAGTTTATTTGCACTAATGAAGAGGAAGGTAACTTCCTGAACGCCACACAACTACATAAATTTGACACCACACTCACAGGCATTGCTGTTTGCCTCTATTCTTGGCACCTGTTGTTTTGTGCATGTACTGCACCTGCAACAGTGTCACAAACACAAGGTGGTGATAATGCTCTGTAGCGGGAAATGCAGCTGGACTGGTAACACCAGCTGGCAAAATCCCATAGCCAGAACTGTCACCCACAATAACTGGCAGTGGCTGGATAGGACACAGGCATCTTGTTTCTGATGTTGAAAGCTTTTCCGTGGTGTTCATATGCCCTGCTAATGTCTTGGCTCTGATGGTCTTGATACCACGCTTAGTAATTTATCCTAAAAATAATTATTATGTCTGTGGTGTCTTGCTCCGTGTTAGGAGTTTTATTTGTCATACACAGAACCTTGTGCACAAGTAACATGGGGTTATTTGTGCTGATATGGGCTTCGTGGTGCTGAGCCACAAGACATATTTGTGGAGGCATGGTGAACATTGGGCTGGCTGCGGTGCAGTCCATAAATATGAAGCACCTCCTCTCATGATGGTGAAAGAGCCGTTTCACCTCCATTTTGCTCCTAAGCACTTTCTGTATGATCTTCTCTCCTATTACACTGTGATAGGTGTTCTCCAGATTGGACTATGAGAGTTAGCACAGTCCCACCACTGCACAGACTTTAATCAGTCTAAGCTTTCCTTACATTATACTGGTATCTACTCCAGGACCTGATGCCACACAACCGTTAGTATTTGTATTTTTAGCAGGCATACTGTTGACTAAGCAGTGCTGATGACTGTGACAAGCCCTTCTCCATTTGGTTTCTTTCCCACCTTTAGGCATTTTACTGAGCTACCATGTACCCTTCCTTGTCCTGGCCTCTAGGGACCTACAGGCATCCACTTTTGACTTGACTAAGTAATGCCTCTCCAGTTTGGACTTTGAATATTGCTGTATCTTCTTCATAGGAGTTTTCTGCAGGGAATTTCACAGTCTTGGAGTTGGGCCTCATAAAGACAACAGTTAAGTTCCTTCCTCAAATACATTAGGTGTCCAAAAGTAATGGACTCAGAACAGGGGAGGGGAAACAACCTCATTTTCATTTGAGACCAGGATCAGATGCCTGTCAATGTCAGAGAAAGCTGTTCTGCCTGCAGCCTCTAAATTGGTTTATTTCAAAGCCCAGTTTCTTCTTCTTCCTTTCCAAGCCTGGAGATTGGACTGCCCACCCCAACCACCATGTCTGGATGCTCTGACATTACAGCTGCAAGACATCTCCCAGGATGACAGGACCTTGACTAGCATCACTTATCTGTTAAGTGCTGCATCAGGTGAACACTAACTTAATAACAGCATCTTCATACAAAGCTTTGATCTATCCTGGAAATACCTCTATCACTACTAAAAACCATATTTGCCCTCCTTTGTTTTGTGATAGTTTATCAATATATAAATACAAAATCCACCTGGGGCCAGGCCTAGGGATCATACTTTCTTTTATGTTCCAATGGCAAAAAATTCCTCTTCCTAGGCCTTAGTTACTGCCTAACTACTCTGTAAGCAACAGGGGCTGTTTGTCCTCCCTGTTTTAACTGTTGTTTGAGCTTCTCCTGCTCCTCACTGTGAAGACCCATGTATTTGAACAATTCGTTTTCTAAAGTCTCCATTTCTCCTCATTTTTGGTTCATATTTCTCTTGACTTGACACCATGCCCTACTCACCAGCACCATTCCTGAACTTTGAAGGCCAACCCTCACAGCCCTGTTTCCACCACAGGCCTCCTCTAGGAACCCACTGGCTCTGGGACTCCCAAAAGAGAAGTCCAGCTGTTCAGGTCTCACCTGTGCAGGAGGCAGTGGGGATGGAGACTTTTGCAGAGACTCCCTTTGCCACATCATCCCAAGACAACCCCTCACCCCTTGCAGAATACAAACAGGTGCAGGAATCTGTCTCTGATGCCCATTCATTGGTGTGTGTCACCCCCTCCTACAAAGCATGGCCAAGATCCCAAATCTGTGCACAAAATGATAACATTTATTGAAAGAGTAATTTTTTTTTTTTTAATACAAAAGAAAGCTCTGTACATAGTACTGTGATTACTTCCATATCCTTCCAGAAACACAACCCTGGAAACTGAAGGGGGGAGGGGGAAATCCCACACACACTTATGCGTACACACGAGCACACGCACACACACACACAACCCTCAAACCAAGTAAAATGAACTAAAAATGTCACCACACTATAAATGCCGTTTCATCCCTGATACACAAGTGTTCTTACAATTCTGCACTTAAATAAAATACACCATTAGCGTTTAACCAGCAGTTGCCTTTTGGGGAGCCAGGGAGGGGATGCAACCAGAGACATCCTGTAGCAGCAGGGGCACTCCTGCCACCCTGGCCCAGCAGCTCTGCTCCGCCGTGCTAGCGCAAAGCAAAGCAGAGCAAAGCCAGGCCACGAGGGATGTGCTGGGGGGCAGAGGACAATGCAAACCCCAAGCCCTCCTTTTTTTCCTGGATGAACTCCTAAGTACCCAGCTTTGTTTTGGGAGCGTCGCTGAGGAGCTTTCATTACACCTAGCAAGGGGAAATTGTTGCCCTTGGTTTAACCGCCGATCCCGAGTCAAACCAAGACAGCACAGCACTCCCACGTGCTCTGAGCTGCAGGTACACATCTCTCTTAAAGCAAGGATGCTAAGGAGAGGCAGCATGCAATGTCACTTTTGCCAAATAGGCCACCCCCAACTCCCCACAAGCCCTTCCCAGGCTGCATAACAGACTGAGGGCTTAAAGTCCCTTCTGGGAGCATTTTGCACAGGCGGCTTGAAGGGAACCTGTTCACATCTGTGCACTAAGAAATGCCTGTAGAGGGGGGAAACTACAGCCCAGATCATCAGCTAGGAGTTCAGGAGATGCTACCTGCACAGAGAGCAAGGACCGGCCACTGCTGGCCACTTGCCACCCAGGGAGGAGTGGGGATGCCCATAGCCCTTAGGTAGTCACAGGTAGCGCTGCTCCGCACCAAGAGCAGGGACAGAACAGCCACGGGTCCCAGGACGAGAGGTGAACACGGCAGCCAGCAGGAAACCCAGCCCATCTCTGGCTCCCAGGCACACTGCAAGCCTCTTGTTCCTGAGGGATGGCTTTCCCACTTCTAGAGAACAGCCACTGCTCCACAACTTGTCTTCTGCCCATTAAGCCCCAAATGATGGGTATGGAGTCCTCAGTACAGGTAAGTGGGAAACAACCACCTCACTCACTTCAGCTTGATCCCTGGTACACGCTGGTAGGTGGAGAGCGCAGCTTAAACGCTAATGCTGAGGGAACATGTCCAAGGTTACAATACAAACTCAAATGCAAGGCCCCTTTCCTGCCTCCATGCCCACCCACCCCTCTCCCATCCCCCTGGTACAAACCCCATGAAAACTGTACAGGAGCCAAACTTTTATTCCTTAAAGAATTACATAAATACTGAGTTTAACACTTAGAAAAATAAAGTCATTTTCTTTTTTTTTTCTTTTTTTTTCTTTTTTTTCTTTTTTTTCTCCAAGGCTTCTTTTGTCTTTAACTTAGAAAAAAAAAAAAGTTACAGTAGCTGCATCTTCCACTAAGGATTCAGCAGCTTCTCTCACTTGCTCGGTAGGTGGAGAGCGCAGCTTAAACGCTAATGCTGAGGGAACATGTCCAAGGTTACAATACAAACTCAAATGCAAGGCCCCTTTCCTGCCTCCATGCCCACCCACCCCTCTCCCATCCCCCTGGTACAAACCCCATGAAAACTGTACAGGAGCCAAACTTTTATTCCTTAAAGAATTACATAAATACTGAGTTTAACACTTAGAAAAATAAAGTCATTTTCTTTTTTTTTTCTTTTTTTTTCTTTTTTTTCTTTTTTTTCTCCAAGGCTTCTTTTGTCTTTAACTTAGAAAAAAAAAAAAGTTACAGTAGCTGCATCTTCCACTAAGGATTCAGCAGCTTCTCTCACTTGCTCACTCTCCCTCCAGGGACAGGGCTAGGCAGCAGAGCCATTCACAGCAATTCCCATGCAGCACCAAGCATGCCCTAGCCTGTCTCTCATGGCCTTGCTGAGCCTGCACAGGCATCACAGCTGGTCCTTCTCAGCCCAGGATGGCCTGCAGCTCACCCTGGAGCTCAGAGGAAGAGCCTGCCACCTGCCCAGCAGCTCAGTGCCCCATGGGCTCTTCCCTTTGACTCTTTTTTCTCCAAATTCCATCAGACACAGAAATTTAGAAAGCACTGGCTGGAGCTGCAGGGGAATGTGGGATAAACCCAGTCACATTGCCCTGGGGGTAGAGAGTCCGCAAGCAGTGTGAGGACTGAGAAAAGAGTGTGGGGCTGAGCTGGCCACAGAGCCCCCCCAGGAGCTCTCTGGGGCACTGTTGTGCTCCTGGGCATCCACAGACCACCTCTGCTGTGAGAGGGCAACCGCTGGGGCAGAAAGAGGCAGGCTGCAAATCTGCCAGGCAGCCCAGTGAGGAGGCACTGAGGGCAGAGGGTTCACTGTAGTGCATACTAGGAGGATGGGGCCACGTACCACAGGCTGTGCCCTGCCCTCCAGAGGGCAGGCATGCAGGTTTAACCAGAGATGCACGTGCAAGCTGGCCACTCTCCCCTCTCCAGAGCCCAGGGTGAGCTGCTGTGGCCAGGACCTGTCACCCCCACAAAGGCACATTGCTGAGACCAGCAGCACAGCTCTGCTAGGAGCTGTGCCTGCAGAACAGCTCTGGGTCCGAGCTGAGCCCCACACAGAGAAAACACTCATGGGCAAGGTGACTCACAGAGGGCCCAGAAGGAGCCAAAGCCTCCAGCTGGGAACGGCCCACAGTATTTATTTTCAGCGCAGGGCAGTCCTCCCCTCAAGAGACAAGTTTCTTTGGCTGGCGTGAGACAAGCACAGCTATCGCAGCATCCAGAACACCCCCAAGCCCTGCATGGCCCCAGCACAGCTCCACCCCAGGTGGGTCCTGCAGCCCCACGCGCATGCCTGTGTGTGTGTGTGTGTGTGTGTGGGTGAGTGCGTGTTTGTGTGTGTGTGCATGTGTGGATGAAGGAAACGTGAAAAGGCAACAATAAATAACTGGTGCAGTCTGTACGAGAAAGAATTGCCACCAGCCCCGGCCCTGGTGTGACAAGCCAGGGACAGCACCAGGCTGGCAGCAGAGGCCTCTCAGTCACTCTTGGTGCTGTGTGAGGTGTCCAAGTTGACCACTTGCAGCTCCGTCAGGCTGCTGCCACTGCTGCTCTGCTGCCCGATGACAGCCATCTAGAGAGAAAAGGGAGGAGGAAGCACTGAGGGACAGCATGCTTGAGACCACGTGTGCCAGCAGCCAGGGTGGCACAGTCCTTTCTGGGCACCTGTCCAAGGAGGGCAAGACTTCCTCACCCAAGGGTGGGTGGCACTGACAGCTTTCCCAGACCTGAGGACTGGCCCTACCCAAGTGCCCAGGTCTGCCCACACCCACAAAGGATGTGCAGGCAGAGGCAGAGCAAGGACACCCCCTGAACACCTGTGAGTACCAGTCTGCACCTACCTGGTGAAGCTGGACAGCTGAGACCGGGATCTGAACGGTGCCTGATGGGGCTGTCAGGAACACTTGGGGGACGCCACCTGCCACAGAGAGATAGTACAAATGACGCTGTCCCTTAAACAGCACTCCCCCGTGGGTCCTTTCCCTGAGCTCCATGAAGCTTCACAAGGATGAAAGCTGCCTGTTTGCACGTATGGAGGCATCACAGGAGAAAGCCACACATGCTAGTTTTCCAAAAGCTGTGAGAAACAGGCAGAAGCCCTCAATCCAGGTCTTGCCTGAAGGGCTTCATGCTGCTTTGCCCCCTCATGCAACAACAGGTCCTCTCCGGAGTCTCCTAGCTCCCTCCACTGCCTGCCCCCTACACCACCTATCCCAGCAACTCTCACCCTTTTTCCCCAGCAAATAGCTCAAGCAATTCTTTGTATAGGAGAAGGGTGGGAACTAAAAGCACCCATCAAGCATCACCCTTGCCAGGCCTGCGTGCAGCCTCCAGGACTGCTTAGAAGAAAACTCTCTGAAATTAAGACACAGCATAAACACATGCAAAATGAGGAAAAAAAAATCCGTATCAGAGCACTTAAGGGAGCACTGACCCAGACAGCTGTCTTACCCTGATCCTGGACCTGGCTGTGGGACACCTGCATCGCTGAGGGCGCCTGTGAGAAAGCGTTGAGGACCGCGAGTCCGCCGTCCGCGAGGCCGGGCGTGGGCGCGTACATCACCGCGTGTGGGCTGGGGTACATCATGTGGCCACCCACCGTGGTTGGCACAGACGATGTCATGATGGTCGCCGGGAGGGTCACTGGCACCAGGACAAGACCACACATGAGCCACACAGAAGGAGTCCGCTACACCTACGCGCCTGCTCAGCGCTCCTCCCTCAGCCACCTCAGCAACCTGTTCCTGAAGCGTCAGGTGCTTGGAGCTACCTGTCTTGTTCTCCCAAGCTCTTGGGGAAAAGCCCCGAGGAATCACAGAATCTTAGGGGCTGGAAGGGACCTCGAAAGATCACCTAGTCCAACCCCCAAAGGGTTGGTTGAAAAAGGCAGGAGAGCTCAAACCTCTCCTTTCATGAGTGGGTATGAGAGGGCAGAAAAGCACGGTAGCCAAATATTCCAAAAGTGAATTCAACTTAAGATACAAGCTTCCTGACAAAGCTTTAATAAGCTTCGTTGAACTGGACTCAGCCTGCATCCAAGCACCACAACTCAGATTTCTCTAACAGAGGTGTCTTCTGCGTATACAGTAAAAATCTCAAGTAGATGTGAGCCAATGCCTTGTGCTAGGGGCAACGCTGACTCACTAAGAAACCATCTGAGAACTGGGCAACCTGTTCAAAGCCCCATGCTCCAAGTAAGAGCCGATGTTGTATCTGGAGAAGCTCTGAAATTCCTCATAAGGTGCCCTATGCACAGCCACCTCTACAGCACAGCTGCTATAAAGCATAGCACAGGGGCTGCCAACAGGGATAAATACACCTGGGAAACTACCAGAAAGGCTGGGATAGAGTTGGTCTGAAGAAGGATCCTGGACAGGGAGCAGGCATGAGATCTACTGGTTGTGGGGTGTTATCAGTAGTGGATAGGAAGGAAGACAGAACATGGTTACTGTAATGTCCCAGTTACCTGTTCCACTGGAAGAGGTCTGGGTAAGGTCAGTGCTGCTGTCACTAGAGGGAGACGTTTGCTGCGGTGCCTGGTGCACCTGAATCGCCTGGACTGGGACCTGCTGGGCCATGGTACCACCTGGGGAGAGAGAAGAGGCTATGAGCACGTAGCTCAGTATGAATACAGGCACTCTGGGCCATATGAAAGACCCCTAGTCCTGCCCTGGCCACACACAGCTCCAAAGCGTGGCTCTGCACTGCACCAAGGAAGGCTAGCCAAAAGCAGCATGTGGCAGAAACCAGGCCCTGCCCCAAAGAGCAGCTCAAAACCTGCTCTTTTCCTGGCACACGGCGGGCCAAGGAGGGCTTAGCTGGCCTACAGGGCTCCAGAGAGAAAAAGAAAGGCCACAGCACTTTTTGTCCAGCTCCCAGGCATGGTTCAGAAATGTCTGGGGCCCTCCTCACTATTCCTGGCTCTACCAATACACAGTGCAGAAGATGTTGGGAGGAGAGGGCCCAGCACGTGCCCACAGCACAGCCCATGCTCAGCCAGCTCTGCAAGAATCATATCACTGCACTGAGCCAAACTGCAAGAGCCCAAATGCCCAGGCCAGCTGGGTCCTGCTGCCTTCACACTTGGGAGTCCAGCTCCATCATCCACAGGGTACTGAGGGAAAAAATATCTCACCCAGCTTGTGATTCCAAGGACATCACAGTGGCCTACACAGGGACTAGAGACCACTGGGCCACAGAAGTGTGCATTCCAGAGCTTCAGGGACATGGCCACACAGCCTTCAGCCCAGCCCACTTACTGCAAAGCTCTTCAGCTCCAGAGACAAAGATTGGCACAGAAAGCTCCCCTCAGGCCCAGATCCTGTCACCAGAGGGAAAAGTAAGGGATGCCAGAGAGCAGGAACCACGAGCCACCTCACCCAGACTGGGCATCTCCCTACACACCACACCACAGAGAGACACATCCATTATTCTCCAAGCTCCTCCGGATAACAAAGGAAATCAAATCCCCTTGCATGGGATCACGCTGTCTGCCAGGGCCCCTGAGAGTCATAAGGGGTCCAAGAAAGCATGCAGACTATCAGACCTGTTGACTTGGGCACAAACAGGCAAGACACAAGAAACTGTCTCACCCTCAGTGCTGGTCCTCAGATGATGGCTGCCCCCATAAAGGAGAGTCTAGTCCTGTTCTGAAACTCCAATCAGGAGCATGTCCAGCCCCAGTACAACACCTGGAGAACCCTGAGTTGGTGCAACAAGAAATTCCTTCAAAAGACAATGCACACAAGGCAGCACAGCAGCACCACTCCTTCCTTGGCTCTGTCTCTCTCTCTAATCTCTCCTCTGCATTGTGGTTCAGTGACTGATCCAACAGACTGACACCCAAATACAAAAACAAGGGCAGCTGCTCAGATCCAAACACCAGAACTCAAAAATCATTCATCGGGCACCTGAGTCCTTGCATCAGCCCTCCTAGCAGCACAGTTTACCCTCAGCACAGGCTGCACCAGGGACCTGTCCCCACTGTGTTCACTAGCTACAGGGCAAACCCTGGGGCAGCAGACTGACAACCCATGCTTCCCTTGGGGATGCTGCTCCTGCCTAAGCCAAGCATTCTCTGCCCTGTCTTCCCATCTCTTGCTGGTAGCACTGCCAGGCTGCCCTGTGCTCTGGCTCCTCTTTGCTCCCACCTCAGCTGGGTCTCAGCTCTCTGGCCAGGATCCCCACAGATGCCTCCATCCCCCCGTCTCAAGCAAGTGGAGAAGCAAGTGCTGACCTGTCAGCGACACAACTGCCCTCCAGCTCTGGCAGGGAAGCGGAAGACTGTCTGTTGTGCCTGCTGCAGCTGTCCAGCAGTA